CCCAGGTTGGAGTACAGTGGCAGGATCTCAGTTCACTGCAACCTCCGCCTCCTGGATTCAAGTGATTCTCCTGCCTCAGCCTCCAGAGTAGCTAGGATTACAGGTGCTCATCACCACACCTAGCTAATTTCTGTATTTTTTTAGTGGAGACATGGTTTCACCATGTATTGCAAATACTTTTTTAAGTTTTTTCTAGAACTTGCTTTTTTCCCCCAAAAAAGCCTTATCATAAAGATAACAATAGCTAGCCTTTATTGAGCACTCACTGTATGCCAAGCATGATTTTATCTACTTTATCTACTTGTTCACTGATTTAAATCCTCCTGACAACTTTGTGAATAGGAGTTATGATCGCCTCATATTTCAGGGGAAGAAACAGGCACAGAGAGGTGCAATCTCTTGCCCAAGGTCACACAGCTGTTAAGTGATGGAGCTGAGATTCAAACCAAGTCAGTCTGGCTCTAGAGCCATGTTCTTAACCATCGCATTACGTATAAAGTAGCCGAGAGTTTCTTAGGAAGACACGCAGAAGACGAGGCATCCCTTGTTCCATGCTCCATGCTTCTCAGTCCCCCATGGGAACTGGGTAGGAGATGGGCCATATTCAAGGTTATTGAGGCTGAAGACCTTGATCTCCAACTTACAGTTGGTTTTTGCTCTTCACGAAACAGCTGTTCTGGTTGTGGACTGTTCCTGGACCAAACCAAGGGTCAGGCTGCGTCTTCTCTCTGCTCAGTAATGAGATGCAGATAGATGAACTGGGAGAGAAGAGAGTTTATTTCTGTGACTGGGTACAAGGAGAAGGCCTGGAAATTATCGCCAGACCAACTCAAAATTACAAAATTTTCCAGAGCTTATATACCTTCTAAGTTATATGTCGGCATGTAAGTGTGCATTCATCTAAAGACTTAAGTTATTAACTTCTTCTCTTTTATAACTAAGAGCTGAGCCCTGAATACCTTTCTCTGGAGCCTTAGTAAATTTACTTCAAATAGATGTAAATTTACATCTATCTGAAGGTGATTACCCTTATGTTGTCTCCTGCTAAGACCTAGAGGTTTGGGGAGTTCCTTCAGACCCCAGTAAAGCCTGTTTGTGGAGGTCTGAGGATTATCTTCAGACCCCAATAAAACTCATTTAATCCTAAATGGGTCCTGCTAAGAATTTCTTCATTATCTTGTCATGCCTCAAGGACCAGGAAGGGCCTGGGCAAAACTTTGGTGGGTTTCTTTTTTTTTCTTTTGAGATGGAGTTTCACTCTTGTTGCCCAGGCTGGAGTGCAATGGCATGATCTCATCTCACTACAACCTCTGCCTCCCAGATTCGAGTGATTCTCCTGCCTCAGCCTCCCAAGTAGCTGGGATTACAGACATGTGCCACCATGCCAGGCTAATTTTTTGTATTTTTAGTAGAGTCAGCGTCCCAAGTAGCTGAGATTATGGGCACATGCCACCATGCCCAGCTAATTTTTTGTATTTTTTTAGTAGAGATGGGGTTACAATACAAATTCTCCATATTGGTCAGGCTGGTCTCAAACTCCTGACCTTAGGTGATTCGCCCACCTTTGCCTCCCACAGTGCTGGGATTACAACTGTGAGCCACCGTGCCCAACCTTGGTGGGTTTTTGTTACATTGCAGCCTTTGTATGAGGACACTGACTCTTTCCGCTTTTAATATTTAACTTAGCCTCTGGGTCAATGCTGAAGCAGTTGTTATGGAGGCCTGCCGGGTCAGCCGTTAGGGAGACCTGGCCTGCCACACAGTACTGCCTGTCTTTGGGGCTGGAAGGAAACTTGACCCAGCGACTCTGCGGAGCCCACGGGGTACTGAGGTTACAATGGGGCTCTCCGCTTTCGCTCCTAGGCCTTTAGATCCACGGGGAGATCTGGCATCAGAAGTATGGGGAGGGGGGTGCGGCCAGCATACGTCCTTGAACTTCCCCTCTTTGATAGCCAGGCTCCTGACAATTCCTGCTTATCCCAAATTTTAAAAAATAACACAAGATAAAACACAGTTTATTTGAAAAATCTGTAAAGGAAAATAATCAAGAAGCCCTTCGTGAGTATAAACTAAGAGGTTAGAAGGAGAAAGGGATGAAGTATCTGCGAACACTCAGGCTCCGGAGGAGAGTGGACTTCCTTGTATATTTCAGCTACTGGCTGAACCCTGGGCCACCCAGAGGGTCTTTTGGAGTTAATGAGGTCCCCGTTTTCAGAGTTAACTCGGGTCAAGTGTTGCTGCTTAAGTACCTGTTGTTTTTTTTGTTGTTGTTTGTTTGTTTGTTTGAGACAGAATCTCACTTTGTCGCTCAGGTTAGAGGGCAGTGGCGCTGTCTCAGCTCACTACAACCTCTGCCTCCCAGGTTTAAGCAATTCTTGTGCCTCAGCCTTCTGAGTAGCTGGGATTACAGATGTGTGAAACCATGCCCAGCTAATTTTTGTATTTTTAGTAGAGACAGGGTTTTGCTATGTTCGCCATGCTGGTCTGGAACTACTAACCTCAAGTGATTCCTCCTGCCTTGGCCTCCCAAAGTGCTGGGATTACAGACATGAGCCGCTATGCCAGGCTTAAGTACACTGTATACAAAGTTTAGCTCATGAGATCAGGAGATCAAGACCATCCTGGCCAACATGGTGAAACCCAGTCTCTACTAAAAATACAAAATTAGCTGGGCATGGTGGCACACATCTGTAGTCCCAGCTACTTGGGAGGCTGAGGCAGGATAATCACTTGAACCCGGGAGGTGGAGGTTGCAGTGAGCCTAGATAGTGCCACTGCACTCCAGCCTGGCGACAGAACAAGACTCCGTCTCAAAAAATATATTTGAATAAAAATAAAAATAAATAATAAAAAACGTTGCCAGAAAGTCTACAAACATACTACTCAAGTATATTGTATACAGAGTTTCTCTAATCAGTTCTAAATTGGCTAAGCAACACCTCTTTTCCAGAATTCCGTTGCAATAAATCTTATAATTTAGGTTTTAGTGTGAAAAGGAATCTGTACAAGCAATTCAACCAAATCAGGAATATTGATTACTCACAGAAACTGGCTAGGTCTAAATAATACTGATATGGAAGAATGTAGGCACGAGGGCACTGGAAGAGAAATGCCGTAGACGATGGTGTCAGCTGGTAGCAAAGCCCCTGCATGTAGTCAAGTGTGGACTGAGGCAGAAGAGGAAGGGTACATTCGTGAGGTGATCCAGAAAACTGCATTGAGTATAAATAATGCCAAAAAAAAAAAGCCAACTGGCCACGTGCAGTGGCTCACGCCTATAGTCCCAGCACTTTGGGAGGCTGAGGCAAGTGGATCATTTGAAGTCAGGAGTTCAAGACTAGCCTGGCCAACATGACCAAATCCCATCTCTACAAAAAATACAGAAATTGGCCGGGCGCGGTGGCTCATGCCTGTAATCTCAACACTTTAGGAGGCCAAGGCGGGCAGATCACGAGGTCAGAAGATTGAGACCATCCTGGCCAACATGGTGAAAAAATACAAAATATTAGTCTAGTGCGGTGGTGCACGTCTGTAGTTTCAGCTATTTGGGAGGCTGAGGCAGGGGAATCACTTGAACCTGGGAGGTGGAGGTTGCAATGAGCCGAGATCGCGCCACTGCACTCCAGCTTGGCAACAGAGCAAGACTCTGTCTCAAAAAAA